TCCAACCTTGAATGGTAATAAAAGTATTAGATTCTTCTCACTATTTAAAAGATCATGTATGACCATTACCTCACTGGAATTTTCCCATCTATATATTAATAATGTGCTTACTTATGCTTTATGTATATGTAGCCCATTACCCAAGTTTGACTCCTCTGATGTTAATTTCCCTTCCATTATATATATATATATAAAGAGACAATTCTTTAGAGTGTGTGAGTCTGAATTTTTAACCCATACTCTTAATTAATATAATTTTTAATCAAATAATTATATTAGTTAAAAGAGCATTAATTAAAAATAAGAGGTAAAAATTAGATCCATACACTCTAAGAGTAAGTTTAACAATTGTCTTATATATATTAATATTGAAATGGCCTGTAAATTACAATACTACATTAGGTCACCATAACTCTTAATTTATGACATTGGCCATATTTTCATTTATTTTACCTACTGTATGTCTATTATTATTATTATTTTTGGGTGGTTGTGAATGGTACACTAATGGCGCGTTGTACTACTGAAGAAGATGGCAAATCCGTTGATCATGTTCTGCATGGAAAGTGATCACACATGATCATATAAGGGGTGAAATTATCTTCTCTAGACTACACTCTTTTATCCCCATCACCGATCATCATCATCATCATCATCCCACTTTAATTGTTAGGTTGTAATTAGTATTGGCTGTAATTAGTATTGGCAAGACCCTTTATGGCATACAAACAGAATCAGGTACATGATCATATGCAAAAGAAATGAGGGAATTTACAAAAAAAAAAAAAAAAAAAAAAAAAAAAAAAAAAAAAAAAAAAAAAAATTTTTTGCTTTTGCCATCCTGTTTTGTCAGTTAGTGGAATTGTGATTGGCGATTACTTTGCTAGCTGATCACCTCAGAATATATATCCCCACTTTGTTATCATGAACTTGACTACATGGGTCATCATGAACCACAGCATGTGTGTGTTCCACTGGACCCAATCTCTCTCTCTCTCTCTCTCTCTCTCTCTCTCTCTTTCTCTCTCTAGAGCTTGACGTTAACATTCATCATATTGTCATTACGTACTACACACAATAGTACAGAAACCAGTACATGATAGATAAGTCATCATATGGAATATGTAATTCGAGAAAGAGTCCATCCACTATCTCCTCTAGCACGTCATTATTAGAAATCTACACATACATGATACATGTACCGTCCGTTTCAAAGAAACCCATCTAACGTAACAAATACAAAATTCTACAAGTTGATCTAACACACTACTTGAGTATCATTTTCTATATGTTTGCTACATTACGTATCACTCACTAGAAAGTAAAATTTCTGTTTGTCAACAATAACAGTAAAGAGTAGAAGACAGATCAAGAGGAGATTTTTTTTTAATTCATGAATTATAAGTAGAAACAAAAATTAAGAGAGATTACTATTAAGATATTAAGATATCGTTTTGTGCGGGGGGAAAATTTATGAAAGAGTAAATGAACAAAAAAAGAAAAAACAAGCTGAAAAAACTTGAAAAACTCAACGTAAATTAAAAATTATTAAACATATGAGTGAGGGTTTTGGATGTAGGCATTCTCTGATATAAGCTTTCACAGATTATTTAAAAAAGAAAACGTAAACTAGTTGAAACTGTCCAATAGAAAACTCTTCCACTCAAAATGTGGATAATGTTTCATTAAAATTCTCGAAAGATAAAATTAAGTTAAAAATCAAAATTGATCAACATGAGTAAATACAACTACGTGATTTACCAAAAAAAAAAATAATTATAATTATAATAACAATAACTAAATAAGAAGAAATTTTGAACCAAGCAAAAGAGTAATTTTTAACAAAGAAAGTACTCAATATCGAAAGGAAGTAATCTTAGTTATGCATATCAATGTATGTAAGAAATATAAAATCAAGAAATAACAAATGGGGGGGAGTGAGATCTTTGTCTGCACATTGTTTGGGGTGCAATGTGGGCAGCTTTTGATGGGTACAGTTGGGTTGGATTTGATACTTTGGTCCCCGTAATCTTCTATCTCTCTCTTCTCTCTTTCTCTCTCTTAGATTACAGGTCTTCAAAAACTTTAACGTGCGTGTTGGGTTTCTTTCATGTTTGCCATATTGGAATCTCTTTGTCCCGTGGTGGTCACTGCATACTGACTCATGAATGGTAGTGTGGGTGACTAGGACCCACACGCCACCTCCTTTCTCTCTCTCTCTCTCTCTCTCTCTCTCTCTATATATATATATATATGTATGTATATGACTCGTATACCATACTAATGATCTGATCTCACACACTAGCTAACAGTTTGTTCACTTCCAAAAGAACCTTGTATATATGTTACATGTAATTTGTTGTGTATACGTATACACAAAAACTATATATATGTCTATTTCATCTAAATATCAAAACAAATGTCACCAGCCCTCCAAGACAACTAACATTTTCTTCAAGCCTAATAGGATAAATTAACAACAAATTATAACTAATCAAGAAGATTAATACGGAGATAATGTACTACTGCTTTAGATAAACAATGGGTGGGTTTAATTCATCCCTGATTTCACCAACTCTTGTCTGGACATAATCATTTAGGAGTTGCAATAGTTCCTAAATGATCATAAGTGTCCCTTTTTTTTCTCCCCTTTTAAACCAACGGACAATATATACATATATCTTGACCAAATTAGACCTTTCAAATTAAATATTCATCTATCAATAAGAAGCAAATTTAGTACTCTATTTATTTAATTATTAACCTAAACTCATGGTAAGATCCTTATATATAGTTAAAGTTGGTAAAGGGTTCTTTTCATATGCACTTGTCGTAATTAATTAATTAACTAATTTCCTGCATGACCTAATCAATTAACCAACTTTGATGCATATGCACATTTCTCCTTTGATTGGTGAAATGTGAATCTTATCTCGAAGAGATACATTATACACTTACTAATCTTTTTAACCCCAAAGAGAAGAATCTAACAGAAGTACAATTCTCTCAATGTGTGCTTGTGTAAGGCTTCTACTTGATTATAATAAAATCAACCTAACATGCTAATGTACATATATATATATATATACATATATATGTGTGTATATATTTCTATATATGCTTTTGTTCCCAGACTTACTTTATACAGTCGTCCTGCACAAATTAGATAATATAGAATAACCAAATGTGGCCGGTCATATTAAAGAGCAACATGTTAGTAATATTTTAATTACCATAGATCAAATTGGTAACGGCAAGAGGGACTGCGCAAGAATAATGATGGGTTGTAGGGAAGGAGGAGAAAATCCCTTGGAGCACTACAAAATCCATTTGTTCCCCCCCAGACTATGCTTTGCTTTAATTTAAAAAAATATATATATATATATTCTATCCCTTATACTATAGGCTCAGCTGCCCCAGTGCACACCACATGGGTCTGGACCTTAATATAGTTCTATGGTCTCACATTTCTGACAATAATATATTAAGGTTTTTTTTTTTTTTTTTTTTTTTTTTTTTTAAATCCTTTTTCTTTTTTGAAAATAATTTTTTTTTTTTTTTTTTTTTTTTTTTTTTTTTTTTTTTCAAATCCTGTTAGTTTATTATTAGGCCAAACTGGGGGTTGAGAGATGTGAATATGAGAGCAAAAGAGCGGCCTTGAGAATAAAGCGTGGCGAGTGGTCTTCCCCTTCTGTGTTTGAGGGTCTGAAGATGTAGACCGCCACATGGTGCCCTCTTGTCCCTTTCTCTTGGAATTTTCACCCATTCAATATCTCTATATTTCTATTGAACATGTAATGTATAAGTTCCCTCTTATATTATATATATATATATATATTTATTTATATGTAAAATATAGGGTACGCCCTCCTTTGCCCTTCAAATTAAAGTCACCTACCTCGGTGATATATGATATCACCATGATGCACTGTGAATTATGTGGGGGTTTTTGGTGCAGAAAAGAAAACAAAAAATGCCATATAAGTAGTGAATGTTTTCAAACAAAGATTTTAATCAGATTTTCATAGCTATTATCGGACTTCTGAATTATATATGTTGTTATATTTATGTCAATGTATCTATTTTTGTCCTCACTAGTAAAATGGCAAAAGTAATAATATATATATATATATATAATGTGTGTGTGAATGCAAATTTGTCCCTTTTTCTCTCACAAATCTGGCTTTGGTCTCAATCGTGTTAGATTCTGTGAAGATTATACTATCAAATTAAGCCCGTTTCCTCCACTAATTATATATGTGTTTCATGAGAAACATTTTTCATATTGATGTCCCATCAAATTGACAGAGGAAACTCGGACTAATATAGGACCGAGACGTCATCAAATTAAATAATAATCTCATATACGAGGGATACATATTTTATATCAACAAACAAATATTGGCGAATAAGTATTCACCAAAATAAAAACAAATATATTGAGAAAACATCAAGAAAGGAAAAGGTGTGGAAGTGGGATTTGTTGTGGAGTGTTGGATAAACTGCATTGGTTTTTGTGCTGTAGCGCTCTAGGGATTCCCTCTACTCATCTTTTTTTTTTTTTTTTTTTTTTTTTTTTTTTTTTTCCTATAGAGATTAGAGAGGAATGTTACACGTAAGAGTGGAATATTGTGTAGTCTCTCATGTTAACTGTAGCTAATTCTTCTTTTCTGCCATTTCTTGAACCTACCAAAGATTCATCCGTAATGCTACTTTACCTCCCTGTCCTCTTCTTGGATTTCGAATGTCCTCAGTACTTTTACTTCTTTTCCATTTTTTTAATCCCATTATTTAAGTAATCTTTCTCTTCTCAAATTCGATTTTGGACCAGAACCCATCACGTGAAAATAGATTTAAAATAAAAATCGCATAATTCTTAAACAATTTCTTCCTAAATATATATTAATTAAGTACTATATGCATGCTAATTGATCACACTAGCTAGCTACTTAATGTTTTCTCTCATATGGTCTTAATATTTCAACCCCGTCAAGGGAAAGACTCACGTCGCCACCTGCTCTTTGTCGGTTTACTCTTTGTTTCAACGATTCCTTTGCCAAGAGAGAGAGAGAGAGAGGGAAAAAAAAAAAAAAAAACATGTTAATGGGCAACTGTTCTGATGAGAAGATGGTGGTCATCTCTTCAACAACTAACGAATGGCCACAGGTTCATTTCTCTCTCTTTCCTCTCTCTCTCTCTCTAGCAATTATTAGACAAAAACATGACCCCATTTTTGTTGCTTAGCTTTTGGAAGAGAATCTCTCTCTCTCTCTCTCTCTCTTTCTCTCGTGTTGTTATTTTACCCTAATACACACCCACACCTTAAACTCTCTTTTCTCTTTTGTTTTTCATCTTTTTTTTTTCTTTTCTTTTTCCCAAATCTGTCAGAATAATCACATAACAGATGACCAAAAGGCCTTAAACAACAACAACAACAGCATGGCTTCATCAAGCGCAGGTAGGATAATGGAGAAACCAGGGCAAGAACAGCTTCAACAGCAACAACAAGCCCTAAAATGCCCTCGCTGCGACTCCTCAAACACAAAGTTCTGTTACTACAACAATTACAGCTTATCTCAGCCCAGGCACTTCTGCAAGGCCTGCAAGCGATACTGGACCCGCGGTGGGACCCTCCGCAACGTCCCCGTCGGAGGTGGCTGTCGGAAAAACAAGCGCGTCAAGAGACCTAATAACTCCTCCTCATCATCATCACTTCCCGATCATCATCATCATAGTCATAATCATAATTCATCATCTTCTGCTTCTTCTTCTCCTTCTTCTCTTCTCTCATCAAATCCCGCTTCTTCAGTACAACCCCAGATAGATTTATCATCAAATCATCATAATCACATAAGTCCTCTGTTTTACGGGTTGGCCAATAACGCACCAAATTCTGATATTTTGAGCCTCCAGTTTTCGAGGTTCATGAGTTCTACTACTTCCGGTTATGATCTAGTTCAGCCGCAGTTGAATAATGTTCTCGGGTTAGGTTTTTCATCTGGGATTAATAATACTACTGATTATAATGGCCAAAACGGGTTTAACTCGAATTCCACATCACTTCTGCCAAGTTATAGCTCCATTTTCAGCACACCGTCTTCTTCGCCGTCTCCGACAATCGCCTCTTTATTCGCTTCAAAGTTCACAAATGGCGGCCGAGGGTCAAACCATTTCCCCTCGTTGTCGTCGCCATTTGAGGAGGTTCGGATAACGGGCAACAATGGCGAGTCCGAGATGGGGTTGATGAAACAAGTGAAGTTGGAAAATGGGCAAAGAAGGTTCGATTGGAACGGTATTGCTGATGATAATAGTTGTGCTGCTCAGAATCATGATGATGATCATCATCAAACGGTTGAGCAAAGTCTTGGCTTATCATCATCATCAGATCCTTCTCTTAATTACTGGAGTATCAATCCAACGGCTGTCGGCGGTGCCAACTGGCACGATCCGGGGAGTCTTGGTTCTTCAGTCCCTTCTCTGATCTAGCTAAGCCAGACCAAAATATTCACACTTGATTCTTCAAATCTCTGCATATTATATATCTCCCTCTTTAGTTTCTTCTTTTTAAGTCATTTTTGGGGTTTGTTAGTGTTTAGGTTTTTATTTTAGTGCATGGGTCATACTGGTGTGGTTTCAAAAAACAAAAACAAAAAAAAAACAAAAAACAAAACACAAAAAAAAAAAAACAAAACAAAACACAAAACAAAAAAAAATTTATACAGAAGCTAGCGAAGGTCGGAAGAACTGGGATCGGAGCGATCATGTCAGCAGCAAAAAGATTAAATTTTCAGCCTCTTGTTTTTTTTGTTAATCAAGGTTGATCAGAATTAATCCTGATTTGCGCTGAGAGGAACCTCGGATCCTATGATTAATCTCATCCACTTGGGCATCATCATCATCATCATCATCACCAAATCTACACAAGAGAGTTGGGAAGGTTTTCCTTTGAAAGGATATTATTCAATTCCTTGATTTGATCAGTAAGTTTGTGTTTATTATGTTGTATGTATATATATGCATGACAGCCTTAATTTTCTTTCTAATGTAATTTTGTTATATTAATCAGTACTAGGTCGGAAATTGGGGCGGGGGTATATGTTGCAACTAGTCCTCGTGAATCATGATATATGTTGATCAGAAGATCATGAGGAAGTAATAATTTTTTCATTTGTTTTCTGCCGTACGTCTTTTTAATTTTGTTGGGGGATTGGGTATAATGGTATAGAAGAGAGGGGGATAACTTGTCATCGCAATTACTTGGGTATTACTTTAGTTCGTGATGTGGTTGGTTTTAAGTATATTTGACTTTGTTCTTGCTTTCATTAATTGATTTTGGAGTTACTATTAATTGTTGGAATTTTTGTGAAGTATTTCAAACCATTCAAAAGCTTCAAACACATACAGAATATCAGATATATATATATATATATATATATGTATGTATGTATCTCTACATGTGTAAACGTATAGAGGTACTGCATGTGAGACAAAGTGAAGCGCTGTGTTTATAACCTCAAAGGAAGAGATATTCTGATCTGTAGATTGGTCAAACTGTAAGTAACCCTAATTTCTATGTACAAAATGACTAGTGGTTTTGAGTGTCTCGGGGTTTGTGATATATATGTGGGTTCTCAGAAGGCTGCATCTACTAAAAACACGAGACTATTAAAAATTCGATTTTAAAGTTTTGAAAATGTGAAAAGCTAGTTTCACTTTTTATCAGTGTATTTATTGTTTAACAATTGAATTTTATTATCTTAATTTTTATTTAAATAATAATATATCACATTATAAAATTTATGTGTCAAATAATAAATATAGACATTGAGAGTAATTAATATATTTTTTTAAAATATACATAGATGACATGTGTCGATTGACTGTAGCTTGCTGGCTGGTCTAAAGAGGAGTTTATTCTCTTGCTAGCTCTGAGAACATTATTCCATGGCGGTTGCTGTTGCACTCAGCAGTCAGCAGCTAATTAAAATGATTGAGTTAATCAGAGATTTATGACTTTCCTTTAATTGGCAGAAAACACATTCGTAAGTAACTTATGTTAGTCCCCTAAAAAGGTAATATATTTAGGATTATTTACTCTTTCAAATTTTATATGTTGAGTTTATCAAAAAGTGTATATATATATATATATCATGTAATTTGAATGTTCTCAATACTTTTATATTCCAAAATCATGTTAAATTTGTATTCTTTTTGACTCAACAACTTATAATCTAAAATTGTATTTTCACTGGTCTTTGATTATAGATTTAGTCATCAACTATATAGGGTAAATTCATCAATATTAAGGATCATATAAGTTGTCCGTTTAGAAAAGATACAACTTTGATAAAAGCTAAAATTTAGAGGTATAATAATTTGAGGCGTGAAATTACCGCCAAATTATCTCTGCAACCATACATTCTTTAACACGTACATATCCATTTATTGTATTTAAATTTTATTTATTTTTTCATAATATTGTGAGCTCAGTTCATATATTCTCTCTATATAATACATTTGTGTGCGTGACTGTGTGTGAGTGAGGTTCTCTATATATTTAAAAGTGCGCGTTCTTTAGTCAATCTTGTGTGTTTGGAAGAACTTTTGGTTTGACATGACAGATCTAGAGAACAAGTTAATTACTGGATTCCAGTTCTAGTAATATATATCCTTATGCGGTCAATAATGTACCGTTCACATTCTCCATTTATCTCGATCAAATTTCAAAATTTTCAATAAGAGCGTCACTATAATGAGCCAATATAAAACGTACATGTTCTATGGTTTTTGTCACCAACTGTCATGATATACGCAAGTATGCTGCCTAATAAAATGATCTCGGCAATTCGAGTAGTACTCTTAAGAGCCGCTCTACATGCACGAATCCCTAAAAAAAGAAGAAAAAAAAAAAAAAGAAGCAACAGCGACAATTTAGAGTTATTTCGTAGGATGCTTCATAATTGTGATAAAATTTGTACAAGGGTTAATCTGACCTCGTTGGTTTTCCTTGTCGTCAAAGTTCCTTAGATTTACCGGCCATTTGGGGGTTAAAATTATAAATTTTCGTACGTTTGATCATCTTGTTAGAAATGGCATGGTAGAGCTTATGATAGTATATTCCTCACATCATGGCCTTTTTTTTTCCTACCTGCTTCTACTCTACGTTTTGAGGAGGATAATGACTTGGCATGTTATCCGAGGAGGAAAAAAAAATTCCATATATAGGTCGGTCTGAGACCCGTCACCGTTAACCTTGGTTAGGTCGAGGTTTTAAGTCCCAAAACTGACACTCTCTATTTAAAGTTTTTTTTTTTTTGAAAATATCTTATATAATTTCGGGCCGGCCTGACCCCTATTTAAAGTTTTTTTTTTTTGAAAATATCTTATATAATTTCGGGCCGGCCTGACCCCTTTGGCTTTAGGACTAGGCTAGGGCAATCCATTTGAGTTTTGATATAAGATCATGTGCTGCTCTTTATAAGTTTTAATCAATCGTGAGTTATGGCTATCTGGAGCATTTACATGCAATGAATAAGGGTTTGATATTCTATGTTGTTGTTTGAGAGAAAAATTTGAATCATTTGAGCGATCTACCAAGTGAAGCAATTTTATCGTACAAAATTTAAAAACGAGTGGGGCTCACTGAATAGCTCTAACTAATTGTTACAAGACTTGAGCGACAATTACAAGAAGGATTTTTTAGATTGTATAAGTCCATTAGTGATTGTAATAGTGTTTAATTAGTAGATTGTTCAAAGGCTCTGTGAATGTAGTTTTTTACCGACCACATAAAAATTCCCTAAATATTGTTTATTTACAACTTTCGGTAATCATTTAATCCGGTTAAATAAGTATATTCAGTAAATTAATAAAACAGGTTCGTTATGTTTTTGTTGCAGACAAAACTTGCAACAGAAACACTATACATAGATCTTTTAGAACTGCGATTCAAATCCTTCTGCCATGTCCTAAAAATTTAAGAACCACGTTATTATTAAATTTTGGAAGTTGATTTAAAGGTATGAGCTAGCTCCACTTATCATCAGTTACATGTCACTGCTCGATTTTTCTTGAATTTAAGGAAAAAGAATGGTAATCATAATGCTTACTGATCGTTAACATCGTAGTAGGCTGAAACTATCGCTAACATGGGGAACTACCTTTTGTATTGCGATAGGTTGTCATTGGTAGCACAATAGATTACCACCAACACGAAGGTTTGATAGTGGGTTTGAAGCTGAGCAACACGTATGATACTGTCGGAGGGTATAGTTTTTGTATTCCATATTTGTTTGGAATTTTCCTGCACAAGTTCACTTTATATCACAAACATCGGATCTCTTAAAATCCCAAATTTTTTCTAAAGATTAATTTTTTCCAAATAAAAACCTTTGAAAAAAAAAAAAGAGCCAAATCAAAAGTGTTATTGAATGCCTTGATTAATGATTTCAGAGGTAATCCACCACGCGCTGACCTGAACATTGTGGTAGTCTAATGTGTTATCAAGAGTAACTTATTGGGATATTGAAGGTAGTCTGCCGTGAAACTGGAAATATCAGGCCAATAACTTGGGTGTGTTCTTTTCACACCTCAAAATTTTTTATGTGAGAAAACATTGTAGCAAAAATGTTCAATTTGAATTTTTTGGAAAAAAAACACTATAATAAAAGTATGGGAGAAAGAGGGAAATAGGCTAGGACTTGAGATGAATTAAAATTAATAGGCCAATAGTTTATATAAGTTAATAAATAGGCCAAATTACTATTTTTGTCCATAACTTGTCTGGTTATGAACCATAACTTGACAAGTTATTACCCATAATTCACCGTTTTTGTCCATAACTTGTCTGGCTATGAACCATAACTTGACAAGTTTGTCCATAACTTATATGGTTATGAATCATAACTTGACAAGTTATGACCTATTAATTTTTATAACTAAAAATTGGCCTATATACTTTCTTAAACTTTTCATATTGCCCTATTTTCTACTATTTCCGTAAAAGTATTTGACTTGTGATTTGAGTTTAGAAGAAAACAATGCATTGTTACTTGCAGCAAACGTGCTGCTAATAGTTACTGACATGAATAACAAATAGATATTTGTTTCTCCCAAGAATAACAAATAAATGTACTGATACATAAATTGATAGATATTTTCTCACTAGAATAACAAATAAATGTATCAGTACGTAAAATTGATATATATATATATATATATATATATATTTGATAGATATAGCATCGCACAGGGACTTTCACTTGACAACGGGAGGAAAGGAGCCTCAACGTTGTCACGTCCAATAACTTCTGCTACATATTATGTTTAAATAACTTTTGTTACATTTTTTCACGGCCATAAAATTCTATCCAGCCAATAAATTTTGTTGCATTTTGTCACGTCCATGGACCTAAAGATCCACCTAGAAAATCAACATGCTAAGTGCTATGGTCTGAGGGAATATTTAGTCCAATCACCCGACATCCTTTCTTCACCCACCTTTTAATGTTTGACCATATATACGTGATACATACATATATATATATATATAGTTATTTAACCCAAAAAGTAATAACCTTATGTCATTTCTTTTACCAACTATTTTTTTAACCTCTTCGTTGTCTAATAACATAATAATACAAATCTTCAATGCGACGAATTTCCTTCTTAATTACCCAAAATCTATGCGACTATGCCTATAACTCACCATGTTGCCGGACCATAGAAAGTGAGAGTAGATTAAATATAATAAATTATTATCAAAGAAGAAACGGAGCGCAACTAATCCTAATTCTGAACTGCGAATGTTGTTAAAATCTCTACCAAATACACCATAACAATCAGTCTTTTTAAAGGGCCTTTTTGTCAAAATATTCTATTTGAAGCCTTTTACTAAAACCATGACTAATGTGCCAAGTAGTAGATGACAAGCATCTCATCATACAACCATACATATTGGGCAGTTAGAAGAAACTGATAATTAGAATTATATTGGTGGTCACACACAAGGCATTTCCAAACAACACAAAATATTAGGTCCCGTTCTTTTCGCTGATTCGAGTTTAGAATTCGAGTTTCGCTACAGTAAAAAGCTCTCAGAAACAGTCACATCTAACTTTTTTACTACAGTAAAAAGCTCTCACACAACATCACATCTCAACTTGAATTAAAAACTCGAATTAACGAACTGAACGGACCCAATATATTATCACCTCTTTACGCAATATCTCAGAAGGTCCAACGCAGGCCATGTATCATGTGTTGAGTTTTTGTTGTTATTTTATTCTTTATTTTACCTGTATTATGTTGTCAAATCTTTCAAACAAAGCAACATATGTAAAGAGAAGGATACAAGTCAACCTCTTATA